GGGCTTGTGGGGAGCGCCCCTCTCCCAGGGGTGCGTGGGGAGGGGGCACCGCCGGCGGCGAGGGTGCAGGGAAAGGACCGAGCCCTCCGCTGTATCAGGCAGCTCCCCGGGCCCCCGGACAGCGATCCGGGCACCCCGGTTTGGGGCACGGCCGTGCTGCGCCGAGGGGAATGTCGCCGCTGGTGTACACGCTGTGGCTGTGTCCAGGAAAGTGCTACCTTTGCAATTTGCTCCTGCGATGGCGATGTGATTCTGGCACTTGGGCTGGAGATTTTTAGCACTCGAAAGCCGAATCCCGTGGAACTGAGCAACTTTTCACGAAATGGAGGGTGAGATTTTCCAAAATGCTGGAGAACTTCAGTGCTCAGAGTGGAAGGGGTGGCTGCACTCAGGTACCGCAGCCTTCGCTCATTCCTCAACCACAGCTGATCTGTTGAAATAAACCTCATGTACACCACCCCACCCCCCAAATAGTCCCCACAGGAGACCTGAGCACCCCTGGGAGTCCTGAGCACTAGCACCTACCTCCCCATCACCTCTCCCCTCTCTATGCACCAGCTCCAAACTAGTCCTGCTTTGTGGCTGAGATGGGGGTATCGGCATCCAGCCATCAGAACTGTAAATCTTGGGAGAAAGAGGGAGAGAAGCGTGCTTGGCTCCTTCCTCCTGGCAAGCACAGGCGTGTTCCCTGCAGCACAGGCTCTGGCTCCTCTGCACTCATGTAAGTGGTCCCGTCGCACACATTAGCCAGCAAGAGGGAGTTCAGAGCACTCTATTGGGGGGGCAGAAAGGGGGGGGGGAGGGAGAGATGGGCTGAAATGAGGCTCCCGGCCTCACACCGTGCTCGAGCCCCTGTTTCAGTACATGCCTGCACGCTCCGCCACGGTGCCGCTGAGCCAAACCGTGTTCCAGCAGCGGCGGCTCTGCCTCGCGCAGGTTTACCCAGCCTGGTTTCAAAGGAGCCAGTTTGCCCTTCCCTCTGAGAAATTCCCACCCATTTCTCTGCTGCTGCCCCCCCCCTGCACCCTGTGACGCTGCTGCCCATGCCGTCAGGAGCCCGTGCCATCCCTGACTGCAAGCCCCAGAGGACTAAAACATCTGGACCGCCATCAGAACATTCCTCACTAATGAGGCTATTTTGGGCTGCCTTGCCTCTGTGGGTTGAGCGTCTGCGCTGCTTTCGGAGCAGAAGGAGCCACCGCGCTTGGGGCTGCGCAAACACAAGGGCGGGAAAGCTCTTGCCCCCTCTTGCCTGCCGCTAGAGGCAATCCTCTGATTGGGGTTTGTAGGTCTGAGATCTCAGCTGCTGTGTCTCCGATTAAATGATCTGACCTGTTCCCCAAAAGCAGAGCAGGGAGGGGATGCACAGCAGTGAAAGGCAGGCAGGAGGTGTGGGGGTCACATACTGCACCCGAGCTCCTCCATGAATGTGGGAGAGCAAAACCACCTTGGCTCCAGTTCTGAAAACAGTGCCAAAAGCAGCTTTTTAAGCATGGGAGAAGTATCTGAAACTCAAATCAGGGAAAAGAGTAGCCTGCGGGTAATGAAGCCTGTTTTGGCTGAGAGCTGCGGATTAGAAACTGTAGAGGAAGCCCAGACAGAAGAGCACATCACTCCCGTGCTCCTCAGACACTTCTCGGAAAGGCGCCTCGTCCAAATGGAGCGGGGCTTTGGAAACAAACCTGCTGAGCATGTGATATCACAGCAGCTCCAGCGATGGGGGACCAGGCTGCTCCGGGCAGCGCCATGAATTCACGTGAAAGCGCTGGAGACAAAACTCCTCTTTGTACCTTCCATCGCCCAGAGGTGCCAGGTGGCAGCTGGCTGCGCCAGGAGGAGAGGAGGCGAGAAAGCAAGGATGTTCACAGTAAAGCCCTCGGGCTTTTGCTGGAGAGATGGCATCACCCCCGGCCCGGCACAGCCCGAGGAATCTCACTGAACTTCCCATCGAGGGGCTCGAAAGCTGCCCGGCTTCCCCAGCTCAGCCTCCGTACAAGTGTGGCTAGCAGTGGTCACCGCCTAAATATGAGCAGGCGCCACAATAAATTTGAAAAAAGTTTGGTGTACAAACAAGATTTGCCACAGGCTGTGCTGGGAATACTGTAAGATTGATGGATTGTATAAATATTGGGTAAAAAAAAAAGTGGATTTCTCACTTTAAATCTATTCCATGGCAGCACTTAAAATTCTTACAACACTTCAGCTTGAATTTCTAGAATAAAATAATGACAATTTAGGAGGGAAAGTGGGTTTTATATCACTTTAAGCGGCTCAGATGCTAATCTGACAAGGCAGTGAGAGGCTGAGGGTGTTGCTGAAAATGGCCTAAGCCTCGTGTAAAAGTCTGCAGCATCACCTGAACCAGCACATCATGGGGCCTGCTGCCGTCAGTCCAGC